ATGAATAATTTAGTCAATGAGAAATTATTATTAGTGTATAAGTGCTTGATAAATTGATAATTAGTGATTTTCTCTACAGTACGTTGTTCAGAATTGATGAATTAGGCATGAAATCTGTAGAGCTCGTCGAGCTCGATCTGAAACAATACTAGGTGTGAAGGGGACGAATGTGTTCGAGTTTTTCTATAATTACAACGTATTTTTAGTAATTTTCAGCAGTTTTTTCAATTTTTGATGGGTAAGGGGGGTTTCTAGAATTTTTTTCTGGAATCGATAGACCTCATCGAGTTCTACTTGGAACCAATGAGACCAAAGTTGTAACGCAGACGTACGCGAATACGTTCAAGAAAAAGTTGAATCCGTGTCTAAGATATCTCACGTAAATTTAGTTTGGTTTTCATTCGTTGAGAAAAAAATTTTTTTTTAAAGCTATTTGTTATTTTTGTATTATTTATAAGAAGTAACAATAACAATAAGTTCTCACCCCTACCGGACTTGTGTTAAATATATGTGAAGTAAATAAAATAGATATACTTTCGAATCCTGATCATAGAAAAAAAAATGAACACGTTTTTTACACTTAATAAAAGGAAAGATATGCTTCATTGACTATAATGAAGAAAAAGGTATATTTTATAATGGACATTACTAGTATAGATATATGAAAATGTATGTTTATGTATAAAGAAAAAGAAAAATTTTCGTCATAACGCACGTTTTTATATTCACAAAAAAAGGTTTGAATAAGTTAAATTAAAATGAAATTAATATTATTTTTATTTATTCTAATATTAACAAACAATGAAATTTGTTCATTATCGGATGAAATTGAAGATGATAATGATACAAGTACAACGGGATACAATCTTCGTCAATTAGCTGATATGATTTATAATAAACATCTTTCTTTTTCTTGTGCTGCACATGGTGATCCATGTAATAAGACATTTCCCTGTTGTCATGGTTCTTGTCGTCTTGGATTTTATGGGCGTGGTTCTGGTATTTATCATATACCTATTTGTAAATCAATCAAGTATGTTTCATTTATTTTAATTAAATACTTTTCATCAGAAATTAATTTCGAAAAATTTCTAAATTTTTATTTTTTAAATATTAAAATAATCAAAAGAATTCTAAAAAAAATTAATTTAACATTACTATTACATTTATTTTTATCTTTATCTTTATAGAAAACGAATTTAATCAATATTTTATACAAAGATCGATTTTCAAGTCTAAAATAAATTTATTTTATTTTTTAGGACAAAATGATGGATTAACTACAACAATAGAAATATTCATTTCGACTTTTATCGTTAAATTAATCAGTCATTTATTAATTATTTTATATACAAGTTTTCTTTAAATTGTATTAACAAATATATGAATATTTTCAAAAAAAATATTCTATTTAGATCTAAAATAAACATGAATTATTTATTTCACGACACAAATATATTTAACAATCGATTAATATACTCTATAATATCGTATTAGATTTCAATATCAACATATTAAATCTTTTTAAGTTTATTTGATTTTGTATTGATCTAATTTTAATTATTTTTCTCATGAAGAACATTTACAATATGGTATCAACATTTAATTATCTCAAAAAGATTGAGAATATACATCATTTTAAATAGAAAATATTCTTTAAAAAGTAACATATTATATTTAATTTTAATTCTAATAAAGATTTTTACTCATCTGGAAAAAGATTTTAAAGAATAATGTCAAATTTTGATAAGAAAATAAAGCCGATCAGCATGTTACACCGTCAAAATGACTGATTCATTTACTCAAATACTTAGCAATGAATAAACTCATTCTGTCTCTCTCCACTTATTCCTTCTTAACACCTATGAAAAAATTTGATAAATAAAATAAAATAATGTTCATAAAGCAATCTCGGTTTTTATATTTAAACGCTGTTTATTTCGAACAAGACTTCTATCCATATAGATCAAACGAGAAAAATTAACCTGACAAGAAATATACCTCAATTAAGCATTTATCTTAACCATAAGAAAAGTATAACATCTACTGCCAATCCTAATAGAAATTCTATCTCTTATTTCTTTAATCTATGTTTGTATTGGTATCATTCATATTTGTTCTAATTTCTATATAAGCACTTTTTAGCTGAAAATAAACGTTTTTTTAAATAAAACTAAAGAAGATAACGATGCCGCTGAAAACGTTTTTTGAAATTGTGCAGATAATTAACATTTATTCTATAATTTTTTTGTACTATTTAGAGTTTAGATGATACATTAGATAATAAGAATGAACGAAATGATAGAAGTTGTAAGGAAGGTAAATAGAATATTATTCTAAACTAATGACGTCTATCATTATTTTAGTATCATAAAAATTTAAAACTGTTCCTATTCGATGCAGCATATGAAGAGATTCCGTTGCAACGATGATTAACTAAAGATTTAGGTAATATGACGATAAATATCTTACGTCATTTCTTTCATTGTAGATCATCATTAAAAACGATGTACAATTCGAACTTATTATTTTCATATTTAGAAAAATGATTTTTTTTCTTGTTAAAACATGTCTCACTTAAATTAAATGACGGTTTATCAATATAAATAATAATCAATGAATTTATTAATTTGATCTTTTTATTTTTTATGTAAAGATTTATAAACTATACGGATATGTTCGAAATGAAATAACACATAAAAAAGAATATTTTATTTTCTATTGAATAATTCAACATTAAGATTTTTATTTTAAAATGATTAAGAAATTTTTACGATTAATAAAAAAAAATGTTTTTTTTCTGTTGAAATTAAAAAAAAAGAGGAAATAGATAATCTATGAATTATAAGATAAATTTGTATTAAAATCTAATATTGAAATAAAAATAAAAATTAACCACTATGAATTTTTTTATTAGTATGATCTCTTGCAGCAACACCTAAGAAATAGATTTGATCGGGAAATTTGTCCGATAAAACTTGTAAATCATATTTATTTTTCCAAAATAATGAAGAAACTCTTTTGTGAAATTTAGCTAAAACTTGTTGATTTGATTGATCAATAAATGTTGTATCTAATGATGCAGCTTTTCCTTCCATTGAAATATCAACATTATTATAACTAAGAAGAAATTTATTTCCAACAATTTTAAAATTTTGATTAATTGTTCCATTTTGCCATTGATTAAGTTTTTTATTTAAAATTGCAATTGTTCCTTTATATAGAACAACACTTACTTTAGCTTTTAATAAAGCTATTGGATTTTTTTTTGTTAACCCATCAAATAATCTAACATTATGTAATACACCTGGTTTTGATTCCATTCGAAATAAAGCATTTTTTCCTGTTGTATCATAAACTGTAAATTCTCCACCTTTAAGACCACTTATAAGATCTTTTTTTATAAGATAAGTACGATTTGTTCCACAATAACCATCTTTAATTAAAACAATTAATAATAATAATCCAATTATTTTATACATTTTATTTATCTAAAAACACAAAGAAATTAAATCTATTTTTATACAATACAATAATTATTTTAATTGATAAATATGAAATATATGTTCGATAGAAAAATCAAAAAAAAACTATGTAACTATTTTAAGATGATACTTTACTCTTTCATTCTTATCTCTCTTCTGCCGGTCCATAAAATATATGTATTATTCGATTGTGTACTAGTATACTTTACACATTTTCTCATGCATCTTTATTCTCGTGGAGCTTATTCTTATTCATCTGTCTTTGTTATTTCTTCTCTTCTATCTATGTCCGTGTATTTCTTGTGGTAACGTGAAATAATGCTTATAAAGGAATTTTCTTGCTTAATTTTATCAGCAACTGTAACATCTTGCAAATCTCCTGTTTGCTTAACTGGTTAGCTTATGCTTCATAGTTCTTCCCCTGTACGCGCTTCCGAGCGATACAGTTTGCCTGCAGAAATAAAAAAAAAAAAGAAAAGATGATACTTTACTCTAGACAATTTGTTCTATAAGAAATTGTAAAATGAATATTTGATTCTTTTTTTTAATAGGTTTGATTTTTATCTTATCATAAATGAATGTATTCAATTTCATTTGATTTGATTTCATTCATTTAAATGTGTTAATTGATACGAGAATAAACCTTGAATTTGATTCCACACAATAATTATTATCTTTGGACTTCATACGAAATATTTTACTCTTTGACATACAACAATATATATACATATTCAAACCTTCTTAAATCTTCATCAGAAACATGGAGATGTCACGATTCAATTCATTGTTAAAAGTGATATGCATCGTTTCTATTAAAAATCTCATTTTTCACATAACTGTATTTATTTTCTTAATTTGTAAGAATTATAAAAATAAAGTAAATTAACTATACATTAATTAGTAAACACAACAAGAAAATAATCGAAGTTGATTCAATTGTAGTTTTTGACGAAAAATAGTTATATTGATATATTTCGTCATGAAAGAGTTTTTTAAATTGAACGACGACTCAAACGATTAAAGTCAAATGTCAATCGAAGCTCTTGAGAAGCATTGTAACTTAAAAAATTATGTTTTTGCCAACCATATTGATAAATCATATCAGCAAATAGTTTTTGCCATATAAAATCCGTTTCATGCCATAATTGATCATTATCATTATAATTAGTATTATTAAGTTTTTGCCATGGTTTTTGTTTACCTGCAAAATGAACAATTCTAATATTATTTTTTTGAGTGATCCAAATTGAATTTCGATGTGTATAATTATAAATTATTGATAAAGCAAGCCATCTACCAAGAAAATAAGTATTTAATAGATTTTGTTGTGGATATTTCAAATGATAATAGGTATTAATCGAAGATAGATGAATAAGTTTTTTATAGTCTTCAGCATTTGGTCGTAAGAAAAGTACACCAGCATTGAAATATGATGTTAAAAATGTTTTATTTTCTGATTTATTTGCAGAAAACGGAAAATTAACTGCTAATAAAGGAAGATCCTTGTTTCTTCGCATGATTCTTAATGGTTCTTCAATTGAACCGATGATCATAACATCAGCATCTAATACAAGAATTGTTGAATATTGTGTCATATTCCATACATACAATTTAATTAATCCATCAGCTAATCTTGGTATAACAGTACCAGGAAACGACAATGAATCTACATATATTAATTTCCATCCAATTTCTTCAAGCATTTCAAGATGATGTTTATCATTTATAGAATCATGTTTAATAAGTGCAATCATATCACGATTATGAACTTTTACACTATTATATTTATTTAAACTGTAACCAAGAACAAGTGCTCCTGGTATATAAATATCTCCTGTTATTAATGTGACTATCGCTTCACGATGTTGTTGTTTACTTTTTGACATGATACTTTTTAATGATGATCGTGAAACTAAATTGCAGAAGGAAAATAAAAAAAGATAATCAGTTTCGTCAGTTTTTTAACTAAATTTTTTTACCAATATGCAGACAGAATGTCAAGATGATTGTATACGAGATTAATATAATAGTAGATCGAAACTGTCGTTCTTGCATTATTAATAATAGATATAATTATCTAAAATATGACATCGAATAAAATAAATTAATGTTAATCACATTCTAAACTCAAAATAACTACAAGATTATAGAAGCTTTTTCATCGATCAATATAATAAAAAGTGTTGATCTCGAAATAAAGGTTATTCTCACAATTCATTAATTACCTACATTCACCTTTTGCTAATCTAAATAATCGATCGTGGATAAACTAAAGAATTTAATACACAAGTTGTTATGTTGTTAAGTATAGAATGACTTCTTCATTGTCTATGACCTATTATATGTCGATCGAAAATTAATCGATATAGAACCATATCGAATTAATTTGTCAAATAGAATCATGATCTTCTATTTTTCACCATTCACTGGTTAATTCGTCCGTCTATAGAGGACATGGTTAGTTGTTTTTATTAGTCAACATTCCAGTCATGTATGTCAGAGTGAGAGAGAAAGAAAAAAATTAAAATTAAAACAAGCACATTTAAATCGATGAATATATTTGACATCATATTTGTTTCTTAAGATTTCTCCAGTTATGTAAATTAATAATTATAATCTATGCTTACATTGGTTATAGACTGCGGAAAATGACACGATACATCTAGTTATAACTGACAGGTCGATATTAATAACAGTCTCGAAATGTAGTATTGTGAAATGTCGGTCATTCTTATGTATTGTAGTCTGAAAATCATATTTGTTTTAAATATTTATTCTAAAGAAATCTTTTATATTTCTTATTTATCTATTTTAGCATGACAAACATGTACAAACGATTCTGTTTTATATGTCGAAAAAATCTTCATCTAGTAACCAAATTGATGTTATTCATTGTTTTCATTGTGTTAATTTGTCAAATGACGATAGTATCTGATAGACTTCCATCTATGAAAAATAGTAAAAATCTATCGAAAATCTATTTAGTGACTGGTGGTAAGTGCATATTTTTCTTTTGTTTAATTCTGATAATTATATAGTAAAATAGGGGCTGGTTTTGTTGGTAGTCATTTGATTGATCGACTTTTAGAATTCGATGTTGGAGTAATTTTATTAGACAATTTCAATGAGTATTATTCATCAAAAATCAAACGAAAGAATGTTGCTTTATTACAAGCTCGTCATCCACATTCAGCATTCGTTATAATTGAAGGAAGTATTAATGATGTACAATTGCTCAATACAATTTTTTCAACATATCAAATAACCCATATTGCTCATCTTGCAGTAAGATTTTATTTATATTACTTATTTTAATATCTCATGATGTTATACGTCATATTTTGTTGAACTGAGAATTGCAAGACAAACGTACGATTTTATGGAGAGAATGATCAATGTGAATAAATCTAATAGCATTAAGTAGAAAGTTACAAAAGTGTACATTCTGATAATTTTATGACATCCTTTTTGTATACAACTGAGTCATTTAAATATAACAAATTCATATTTCGTAGTTCATCTGATGTAGTAACTAGCAGAAAAGTCGTTCTATTGAGTTAGATATTATTTTTGTGAAACAGCATGATTTAATTATGATATTTTTTAGGCATTACCTGGTGTTCGTTCAACTGCTTATCATATAAATCAATATGTTGAAACGAATTTTATCGGTACTCAACTACTTCTTGAAGCAGCCTCTTCATTACAACGATTACCACAATTTGTTTTTACTTCAACATCAAGTGTTTATGGACAAACAAATAATGTGCCATTTATTGAAACAGATTCCTGTGCTCAACCTATTTCACCATATGCAGCAAGTAAACGATCAGCTGAACTTATTGCTCATGTCTATCATAGATTATATTCGCTCAATATAACAATTTTACGACTTTTTAATGTTTATGGTCCACGAGGTCGACCTGATATGATGCCTTTCTTACTAATGAATGCTTGTATTGATCCATCTCGTATAGTTGATGTTTATGATAATGGTGAAATACAACGAGATTGGACATATATTGATGATGTTATTGATGCTATAATTGCTGCTCTTCAACGACCACTTGGCTATGAAATTATTAATATTGGTTATGGAACTCCTATTAAATTAACAAAATTTATAGATCAAATGCAACATGTATCAAACAGACAGATTCGTACACAAATGAAAAAATCACATCGAACTGAACCTTCAATTACCCATTGTGATAATACTAAAGCACGTATATTACTGGATTTTGTTCCAAAGACAAATGTATCCGAAGGAGTGAAAAAGACTTGGCTCTGGTTTCAACAAGAATATGGTGTTAACAAGAAATATTTCTCTTAAATACTTTATTTTTTTCTCTATTAAATATAATAATTTGTAAATAAAAGATAAAATTTTCTTTATTGAAAATAATGTGTACCAAAATATATAAGCAGTATAAGATCTTATTGTAATTTACAACTTCATTAAGTAGAATATGATACAAATGAATGACGAGTATGATGTACACATCTTCACTCTCATTTACATTTCTATCGACTGTTTTTCTACGCCCCTATCCTTTAAGATATTTTATGCTGTGTTAAAACAAAGATATGTATTATTGAATAGTCAATAATCTAGGTTAAAAAAGTTATTTTATTTTACCATTAGCAAGAGTTTTTTCAATGGTTTATTTGTTGAAAAGTTTTGTTGGGAGGTATACATTCATTGAATATATCTATATACTAAATTTTCTTCCCTTTCCTTATCAATTATATTTAAATGACATATAAAAACTATGATAAAAATATCTGTAATGTCTTTTGCGTATGTCATTTGTGAATATAATACATAAACTATAGCTTTGAAATTTGACCATTTATGATGACATATATAAATCAATAGAATAGTATATATGAAAAATATATTGTTATTATGTAGATAAAGTTGCTTTTCAAATGCAATATCCATGTGAAACTATTCACATACGCATCAATAGATAACGAATAAAATGACGTCTCATTAATCAATTTTAAACTAAATTTATTCAATTCTATATAAAAATAGTTTAAATATATCTATTTTGCTCAAGAAATATAAATTTATTTTGATAATAACTATTATTTTTGAAAATTTTAATATTTTTTTCTAAATAAATACATAGATAAATAATGAAATATTTGTCATTCGATTATGATGAAGCATTTTGTTCTAAAATAAGAAAGAAAAAAAGTGAATATCATCATTCGCCCACGTTACAAAAATAGCATTATCATCAGTGACAATCACATCTTTATTGTATAAAATGAAATATTTTATTTTATTCTAATTTTAAATAAAAATATAATCTTCTTCTTATATTTATCAAAACAAAGTGGGTCATATTTGGAATCTCTTCAGAAATATTTATCAATGTAAGTTAGCTTCAATGAATTCTACATGATAATTCCATTTAATATAATTAACATAAAAAAAATCTTATACTATTTTATTCTCAGATATGATTTCTAGAATAAATCAATTTTAATAAATATTTAATTGAGATTATTTCGGAATTCGATTAATAAATAGAAATAAAAGATAGAAGTTATTTATATAATAAAAATTTAATATGTTTTTATTAATTTTAGATTTGAATATTAATCTGTTATTGAAATGACATTAAAAATTGATTTAAAACAAATGTTTATATATATGGCTTTAACTGTAGGTACATCATCATTAGCTTATCGAATATGGTTATTAATTAAAAGAAGTTTTTCGTCTCAACAATACAAAATTACGTCATCGAAAAAAGCAGTTTATATTAATGGGATGTCATCTAGTTTTCCACCAAATTGTTATCGTCAAACTCAAATGCGAGATATGTTTATTAAAAACTATTGTGGTGGAGAACAACATATAATTCCAAAAGATTTAGATTTTATTAATCGAGTATTCTCTGCAGCAATGATTGAAACATGCTATGTTAATTTACCTGAAGATCAATTATTTATGAGAATGCAACGAGAACAATATACCGAATATGTAAAAAAAAACAAAGTTAGCAATGGCATGTCAATCTGCAAGAAATGCAATTAAAAATTCTAATGGATTACAAATCCACCAAATAACACATATAGTATTTGGAACGATGACAGGTACAATTGGTGCTCCATCGATGGATATACATATATCAAAAGAACTTGGTCTCAATCCAAATGTAAAACGTTTAAATGTTGAATCAATGGGATGTTTAACTGGTTTTCGTTTAACTGGTTTATGTCGAGATATATCACTTGAATCAGAAAATAATGTTGTATTATTAATTGTTTGTGATATTCGATCAGCATTAGGAAATCAATTAACACCATTTATTCCTATGGAATCAATTGATAAATCAAATGTTATTATTTCTGCTCTCTTTCGTGATGCATGTGGTGCAGCTATTTTTTCACAAAAAACTTCAAATACAATTTGTAATGTAATTGATCATCGTTGTGCAATTATTGATAATACATTAGAATTAGGTCGTTTAAAAGAATTTAACGATTCAAGTATTCATTTATATTTGGATAAACAATTACCATATGCTGTTTTTGATTATTTACCAAATCTTGTAAATAGTTTACTCAAAGAATATGATATAGATATAAAAATATGTCAATTTGCAGTTCATACAGGTGGACCAAAAATAATTCGTGGAATTGAAAAATGTTTAAATCTTGATGAAGAACAATTATGTGCATCGTGGTATGTTATGATTAACTATGGAAATCTTAGTGGAAGTAGCAATCTTGTTGTTCTTGAACATTTTTGTCGTTGGAAATATTCATCAATTAAACCTACTTGTAAAAATATTATTTTTCCAAAAGATTTTAATCAATATAAATATATAGTTGGTCTTTCGTTTGGACCTGGTATTGCTGTTGAATGTGTTTTGTTTCAATTATAATAATAATAATATTTTATTTTATGTTTAAATAAAATAAAAACTGTGAATTGATTTTATTTATGAAATGTTTATGTGAATAATAAAATAATTTCTTGATAAATTATTTAACTATTTTTAAAATAAAAAGTATAAAACAATAAATTGTTTTTTTTATAAGTAACTATACATATTCTGCATGTACTTATGTGCATCATGATATCTAGAAAGTTCTTTTCTACAGATTTATTATACTATTATTTCTTGATAAATAGTGTATCTTTTCCTTACAATCATCTATATGATTAAAACTAGATAACCAATCGAGCTTGGTAGTGTACTTATTTTTACGAAATTCAACTAGACATATAAATATTGACGTATCATAAGTTTTCATATTAATTTATTCTATATTTAAATTAAGAGAAATTCCAATTTAACAAGAGTTTAAATTTTCAGACAAATAGACTTGATATCAGATTACATATTAATGAGTACGTAATAACATTTTATTTCTATTTATTATTAATTAGTAGTAAAATGAAATAATTAAACTAACGGTATTTCATAAAGTCGAAGCAGGCTATCAGCTATCACAGTTTGTTTCAAAGAATTGATTCTTTTGTATGATAAGAGAAGTGTTTTTCGACATGAAGCCTTTAAAAAAAAGATATATATCCAATGTCTCATAAACAACAACAATGAACATTTCGCTTGAAACAAATAACAACAGCAAGTCCAC